GTGTGTGTGTGTGTGTGTGTGTGTGTGTGTGTGTGTGTGTGTGTGTGTGTGTGTGTGCCTGCGTGTGTTTGCGTATGTGTGTATATATATGTATGTATGTACGTATGTATATAGATATAGATGTAGGTATAGATATAATATATATATTATTATTATTCTCCTGGCTTTATTCCCAGTTAATGGGGTCGCCGGTGCGGATCTTCCTCCTCCACAGCTTCCTATCAGCTGTATCATTTTCGCTCAGTCCTCTCTGTATTTCATCTTCTCTCACGCGATCCTCCCATCTTCTCTTTGGTCTGTCTATCTTTCTCCTTCCCACCTGCATACTTCTCACACGCTTCCCTACGTATCCTTCATCTCTTCGTACATGTCCCAGCCACCGTAATCTACGTTCTTGTAACTTTCCATTCAGTACCCGAACTCTTAGTCTCTCTTATTTCCTCGTTCCTGACTTTGTCCTTTCTTGTAAGGCCTAATGACCACCTCAGCATTTTCATTTCTGCCACTTCCATCTTCTTTTCCTGCCCTTTTGTGACATCTACTGCTTCCATGCCATATAACATTGCGGGCCTTACCATGGTCTTGTAGAGTTTCCCTTTTACAGTGCTCGAAACTTTCCTTTTCACTCATTATTCCTGTGACCTTCTTCCAAGCTCCCCAGCCTGCTTGTATTCTCTTTATCACTTCTCTCTCAGATCCGCCGTCCGCTTGTACAGTAGACCCAAAGTATTTCAACTCCTCTACCTGTTTTAGGGACAGCAGGGGCAATCTGTCCCCAGGGAGTTCTGCGTCCCTGCCCCTAGCTAGCAGTTGGGGTCGTAAAAACCTTTACCAGCAGGCAAACCAAGTAAGGAGAGAAGGAGTCGGAGCCATCCCGGAGGAGGTGACTCCGACCCCGATTTGCGGCCGGGGGTTCCTGATCCCTGGCTCGGCGTCCTGACCAGGGGCTTACCTGATCAGGACGACGAGCCTGTTATGACGGGTGTAGGGCAAAGCCCTCCCAGGGAATCCTGCACCCTGAGGTTACGTGGTGGGGGGGATGGCCCCCCCGGCCCCCACTCTGCCTGGTTGTGCCGAGGCGTCGCCCGGCCGGAGCCCCACAAATGGGGTTAATCTGCGGCGAGCGTGCCGTGTAGCGGCCTGGAACATCCTCAGTCTCTCGGAGGATGATCGACTGCCTTTGTTGTTGGGGGAGCTGGGGAGGCTGGGGATTGCCATTGCTGCTCTCTCTGAGGTCCGACGGCCTGGTTGTGGTGAGACCAGTAGTGGGGGTTATACCTACTATTGGTCTGGCTGTAGCAATGGTGCGTGCCTTCGGGGAGTCGCGGTGGCTGTCTCTGACCGCTTCCGTTCCCCAGTCAAGAAGGTTACCCCTGTTGACGAACGTATTCTGCTTGTGAGAATGAAGCACACTTTGGGCTTCATATCTCTAGTTGCAGTATACGCTCCTACTGAGGGAAGTGGGCTTGAAGAGAAAGAGATGTTCTACGCCAAACTTGACTCTATAGTGGATCAATGTCCCCGGGGGGACACCCTCATGGTTTTAGGGGAGTTCAATGCAGTCACTGGCACTGACAAGGAAGGATACGAGCTATGCATCGGTCCCTATGGCTCTGGTACTAGGAACATCAATAGCTCATACCTCTTAGATTTCGCAAGATCTAGGAGGCTGAGGATTGCGGGCTCGTGGTACCAGAGACGAGATCTACACCGCTGGACTTGGTACTCCAATACTGGCGTTGTAGCTAAAGAGATCGACCATATTCTCGTGGATACTCGCTGGAGGATCCTTCAGAACTGTAGAGTTTTTAGGAGTGCTGAGTTCTTTGCTACCGACCACAGACTTGTTGTCGCAACACTAAGGCTCCGCCTCAGATCTAGATGCATCCCGAGATCTCACCAGCAGGTGTTCCATCTTGAGAGGCTCAAGAGTGAGGAGGTGGCTCAGGAGTATGCAGTGGCAGTCTCAAATCGGTTTGAAGTGCTTGGTACTCTACATGACCCTGCTGAACTGTGGGATACCTTTAAGCAAGGAACTCTGTCAGCTGCCGAGGAGTGCCTTGAGGTCCGACCTCGGCGAAGGAGGTGTGTTGTCTCAGACGAGACACTGAACACTATAGAGATGAGTCGTGCTGCCAGACTGGATGGGAACCATGTCTTGCACAGGGAGTTGTCTCACTCTGCTAGGGCCTCATTGAGTGGACCAAGAGAGGTACGTTAGGGGCATCATGGAAGAGTTGGAAGGTCATTTTGCCCAAAATGACCTTCGACCTGCTTTCCGAGCCCTGAGGGAACTCCGATCAAAGTCCATCTCTCAATCAGGCTCAGTGAGAGCAGAGGATGGTCGCATTGTGTCAGAGCCTGGTGAGTATAGGGCCCACTGGGCTGAGTACTTTGAGCAACTGTATAGGGTAGATCCCCTGTCTTCACAACTCCCGTTGGCTGGCACACAGCCACTAGTGGCTGATCCACCAATCAGTGAGGCACCACCTTCCATCGAAGAGGTGAGAAGGGCAGTGTCTAAGCTGAAAAGTGGAAAGGCTGCTGGTGTCTGTGGGATTGCTGCAGAGTTGTTGAAGGCGGGTGGAGAAGCCATGATCTGTGGTTTGCATGCAGTCCTGTCTGCCGTTTGGGAGACTGGTACCATTCCCCCTGACTGGAAAAGGGGCTTGGTCATCCCCATCTGGAAAGGGAAAGGGGACCAAAAGGACTGTGGCAACTACAGAGGTATTACATTGCTCAGCGTACCAGGCAAGGTCCTCGCTCATCTGCTTCTGGCATAAGTGCACGACCACCTATTACGAGCACAGAGACCTGAGCAGTCTGGTTTTACACCCAAGAGGTCAACTATAGACCGTGTCTTAAGTCGGCGTTCCACAAGGACACGAAGTGCTGAGTTTCAACAGGGTATGCTTGCAGCTTATGTTGATCTCAAGAAGGCTTTCGACTCAGTGCACCGGGAGAGTCTCTGGAGCCTACTGGGTTTCCGTGGGATCCCCCCTGGAATTATTGGTTTGTTGTCTGGCCTGTATACAGATACTGAGAGTGCTGTCAAGTGTGGGGAGGGCATCTCTGCCTTCTTCCCGGTGTCTGCCGGGGTGAGACAGGGATGTGTCCTGGCCCCAACCCTTTTCACCACTTGTATGGACTGGATACTTGGCCGTACCATGAACCGTAGTTCCTGTGGGGCATCAATGGGTAATTTCAAGGTCACAGACCTTGACTTTGCCAATGATGCAGTGATTCTAGCGGAGACATTAGAGGTCCTGGAAGTAGCTCTCGAGGCGCTGCATGAGGAGACAAAGCTATTGGGACTCACGGTCAACTGGACCAAGACCAAGGTTCAAGAATTTTGGGACTTTTTGGATGTGGATGTTCAGTCTGTGCATGCATGTGGCGAGAACATTGAGGTCTTGGATAGCTTCACTTATCTTGGTAGTGTAGTGCAGAGCGACGGAGGTTCCGATCGGGAAGTCACTCGACGACTCGGACTGGCCTACAGTGTTATGGACTCACTTAATAAGAGTATTTGGCGCTGTCGGTATCTGACTAGGAGAACTAAGATCAGACTCTTCAGAGCACTGGTAACCCCGGTCTTACTATATGGATGTGAGACCTGGACACTGAACAGTGCTCTGAAAGCCCGTCTTAACTCCTTTGGTACTAAGTGTCTTCGCAGAATCATGGGGTATACCTGGAGGGACCATGTGTCCAATCAGAGGACATTCCATGAGACTGATTCAAGACCTATTACCAGTCTGATACGAGAGCGCCAACTTCAGCTCTATGATCATGTGGCTCGTTTCCCTGTGGAAGATCTGGCTCATGGGGTCATCTCCGAGAGGGTTGACCCAGGCTGGAGAAGACCAAGGGGAAGGCCACGGAACTCATGGCTGAAGCAAGTCGATCAGATCTGCCAAGATGTACTGGGAGTAGGAAGGAATGCTGCATGGAGGCTCGCTTGGAGGGACCCCAGGAGGTGGAGGCAAAGGTTGGGTGCAGCAAAGCGCAGCCATGCGTATGCCCCCCTATGATGATGATGATACCTGTTTCACTACCTCTCCTTGCATTTCTACAACCTCGTCTGCATCTTCATATCCCATTCTCAGTTTCAGATATTCAGTTTTCTGTCGGCTCACTTTCATACCTCTCACTTCCATAGCCTCTCTCCACAGTTCCTACCTCTGTTCTACTTCTTCCTTCGTTTCTGCAAAAACCACCACATCATCAGCAAATAGCATGTCCCATGGAGACTCTCTCTGTACTGGGGCAGTCAGGCAGTCAATTATTACTGCAAACAGGAAGGGGCTAAGAGCCGAGCCCTGGTGGAGCCCCACTGTAACCTCGAATTCCTCAATATCACCAGCTGTACATCTTTAACGTGTCCTACTGCCCGTATACATGTCTTGCACTAATCTTATGTATTTCTCCTGCACCTCTTTCAGACGCAGACAGTTCCACGCCTTCTCCAGGTCGATGAATTCGCAGTGTAGTTCTCCTTGACCTTCCCTGTACTTTTCTATAACTTGCCGCAATGCAAAGATTGCATCCGCTGTGCTTCTGTTGGGCATGAAGCCAAACTGTTCATCTGATATTACCACCCTGTTCCGTAGTCTTTTATCTATAATCCTCTCCCACATTTTCAGTGTATGTGAGGTAAGTTTGATGCCTCGATAGTTGCTACAGTCCTGGCTATCTCCCTTGTTCTTGAAAATTGGTATTAGTGTACTTGCTCTCCATTCGTCTGGCATCTGCTCTGTCTCCATGATGTTTTTGATCACTTCTGTCAGCCACTCAACTGCTGTTTTCCCCATGACCTTCCATGTCTCCACTGGTATGTCATATGGCCCCACTGCTTTCCCTCTCTTCATTTGTTTCATAACTGTTACTACTTCCTCCATTCTCACATCCTCCACCTCTCTTTCCTCTGCCGCTTCTATCTCTCTTTCTTCCCTTGGGTTCTCTACATTCATCATTTGTTGGTAGTATTCTTTCCACCTCTATCGTATCTGCGTGTCATCTGTCAGTACCTGACCATCTTCATTCTTCACTCTTTTTGCCTGGTACACATCCTTTGAGTCTCTATTCTTCTGCTTCGTTATCCTTATAGCTTTCCTTTGTCCTTCTTCTCCTTCTAGGCTGTTGTATAGATCTTCATATGCTTTACTTTTGGATTTCGTCACTTCTTTCTTCGCCTTCTTATTTGCAATTTTATAGGCTGTGATAGTCTCCTCACATCTATTTAGGTCTCTTTCCCTTTGTCTCTCCTCCTTTATTGCTTCTTGCACTTCAGTGCACCACCACCATGTCTCTTCCTTCTTCCCTTTCTTGCCTGAAGTACGTCCTAGTATCTCTTCTGCAGTTTTCCGTACTACTGTTCTTAATTCACCCCATGTTTTCTCCTTCTCTCCCAGTTCTGTCTCCACTCTCTGCGTAAATTTACCCCGGTGTTCCTCCTCGTTCAACTTCCACCAGCGTGTTTTCCTTGTACCAGTCTGCTTCATTTGTCTATGTTGTTTCATCTTTACTTTGCAGATCACCAGCTTATGCTGTTTGGCCATGACTTCCTTTGGTAAGACGTAACAGTCTTGAACCTTTTGCAATTAATTCCTTCTGCACATGATGTAGTGTTCTGTCCTCTGCTAGTGTATGTTACTCGACGAGTCAGTCTTTTCTGGAAGTGGGTGTTGACTATGGCCAGGCTTTTTGCTGTTGTAAAGTCCACAATTTCGTCGCCTGCTTCATTCCTTGTCCCCACTCCATATCTCCCAGTGACTTCTGTGTCTCTCCTTCCTTCTCCAACATGTCCATTTGAGTCACCTGTTATCCATACATCCTCACCTTCTGGTACTTTCAACTTTGTGTCTCCCAGAAGATCCCAGAAGTCATCTTTTCCTTCATTTGTACACCCAATTTAAGGAGCATACACACATACAAAGTTTACCGTTGCCTCTTGTACTTCAATCTTTAACCACATCACCCTGTCGGACTCTCTATTAACCTGGATGACGCACTCTTTCAACTCTGGGCACCACCTCAACACCGTTCCTCCTGTTATCCACACCCATGTAGTACAACTTAAAGCCTTCTCCCAGCTCCCTGGTTTTCTGTTCTTTCCACCTTGTTTCTTGCACACACAGCATGTCGATCTTATTTTCCATCACATTCACTACTTCTCTCCCCTTTCCTGTCAT